GTCCCTTTAGGACTCGATCTGGGATGAAAACGGGCTATGAAAATAACATGATTTAAAGCAGGGATGAGAAGCGGCTAAAGGAGGAGGCGGCACTCGCCAAACCTGCCCGGGATCTGGAGGCAGGGATGAGAAGTGGCTGAAGGAGGAGGTGGCGCTCGCCAAACCTGCCCGGGATCTGCGTCAGCAACTCTGACTGGGTTTGAGGCTTTACAGGGTGCTGGGACGTGGAGACAAACCCACATGTTTCTGTTGGAAACAAGCTCAAATCATAGCCCAGCTTCTGGTGTTGGACAAGAAATGGAGGTGCTGTACCTTCAAAGAAGAAAACAGGGTGGTGGGCTTCAAAGATGGAAGTTTTAAGAGGATTTCCAGAATAGCCCTATCCCAAAATACACTATTTTTTTTAATTTTAGAAACTCCTTAGCAAGGAACATGGTTTCCTCCCCAATTCCAGGTAAAAACAGCTGTCCTGAAATGCACCGTAATTAAAACCACTTTTTAAGTTTGGGATTCTGCTTCATTATTAGAGCTCAGCGTACTTCTTTTTCAACCTCAATTGAGACACTTTGGGCTTTCAAACGATTCCAGTCATGGTCGCTCCATGTCTGGGTCTTGTGGTCCAGAACATGCTCTTTCTTTCCTCCATGGGCAAAGAAAATTCTGTTTTCTTAGGATTTCACCTAAAAAATCTCTGGTTTGACCCAGTGGACTTTCTCTTTTTTTTTAAGCTTACCCTTATTTCTCCCCATTTATCACATGAATCAAATCTCATGGGACAAACCCTCCTTTCCTCTCCTCCACCTTCTCATGAAAAAATAATATTAGAAAGTAAGTTAGAAACCAAATATGCCAAATAATAAAAGTCAAATAAAAAAGTTCTAAAAATTTAAAAATCAACAAATAAAAACTAATAAAAATTGCAAATCAACAAATAAAAAAGATCAACAAATAAAAATAAATAAATCAAAAATCAACACAAAAAATATTCAACAAATACGTTAAATAAAAAAAAATTCCTCTAAATCTTAATCCTTGGCTGAGATAATGGAAAAGACCCAAAAAAACCCCTTTTCTACCTTACTGTGCCCCAAGAGGACGACAAAGGTGGAAGGAAGAGATTAATCAATATTTTACTGATGTGTCTGAACTGGACTTAAATTCCAGACTTTTTTTGGGGGGATCTTTTAACACTTCAACTATTCAAATTTTTTCTTTATTCTCCTTCAGAATTAAGCAGAAATCTGAATTCTTGGGAGGGGGATTAAAAAGATCCAAAAGAAACAGTGACTCATGTGCCTCAAGAAGAATTAATCATAGATGAGAATGACCCAAAGGGTCTGAAATAAGACTGTTTAGAGCAAAAATTCCACCTGATGAGTGACAAAAATTTACCCCTGAAGGAAGTGCTAGAAAAAGCTTTTTTTTTTTCCTCTCTCTCTCTACAACCCCCCTCAGCTGGTTTTTGTTCTCAAATTATAGAAGTATTAAAAAAAAGAAAACCCAGCAATTATTTAGTTTATTGCTCTATAGTTACCTGCCCATTTTCTTCTTTCCACATCCAAAACCCCAATATCATCTCTCGTTTCCTTCATTTCTGGGGGCTCCACCTCCGTGGATGCTCCTGCCAAGCAAATCCAGCTTCTTGACCCAGTTTGACAATCTGTAATTTAAGGAGGTGGTTCATCTTTTCTACCTGACCGCTTGCCTGTGTCCTATACAGCGTATGCAACTGCTAGTCCGTTCCCAGAGGCCCCCTGACTTGTGTGATGTTGGCCACAAAAGGAGGACCTCTGTCTAGGACCCAAAATCTTGGTGTAATTTCATGTAACAAAGCCTTAGTCACTTCTCTAGCTTTGTTTGTTCGGCAAGGAAATGCTTCTGGCCATCCTGAAAAGGTGACAGTTAATACTAACAAATATCAAAACTCCCCTTACCTCAGGGGAAGTAACTGAAGTTACTTTCAGAAGTTCTGAAAAAAATCAATTTGCCACCATTGGCCTGGGAAAATGCCCTTCCCTATTTGTCCTAGTTTAATCTTTTAGGCTACTCAAGGGTTATTTTGCAAACAAATTTTACATTGTTGTGTCACCATTGTGCTGGTCATGTACAAATTACAGGCAAAAATGCATTTGCTCAGATGTTTGTATAGGGCTTCAACTCCCCAGTGAGTCTTTCTATGCTCCACCATTATTATGGCCCAGAGTAATGTGCTAGGCACTACTGTTTTCCCTTGTGGTGCGGTAACCCATCCATTTTCACCCTCTTTCCCATTTTAATTAATTTTAATTCCTCTTTTGTATATTTAGGTGTCTGATCAGTTTGTATTTTACCATCTGGAATTAAAGACTGCATTTCTGCCATACCTTCTTCGGCCACCCTTTTTGCTTCTCGATCCGCCATGGAATTACCTATTTCTTGCGCAGTAGTTCCCTTTTGGTGAACTTCGCAGTGCATAATTGCTACCTTCTCTGGCAGTTGTATTGCTTCGAGTAGTTTAAGAATTTCCTTTGCGTGTTTTATGTGCTTTCCTTGAGTGGATAAAAGTCCTCTTTCTCTCCAAACTGCTCCATGGCATGAACCACTCCAAAGGCATATTTAGAGTCTGTCCAAATGTTAATTTTTCTGTCTTTACCAAGCTCTAATGCTCGAGTTAAAGCTATTATTTCCGCCTTTTGTGCTGAAGTGTTTGAGGCAAGGGCCTCGGACTCTATTACCTTGTCTGTAGTAGTCGCCACGTACCCTGCTTTGTGCTGAACATTCTTGATGAAACTGCTGCCATCTGCATACCACGTGTCCTCAGCATCCTCCAGTGGTTGTTCCTCCAGGTCTGGTCGACTGGAGTAGACTGCTTCAATGGTCTCCAAGCAGTCATGGGTCACTGGTTCTCCTGTAATTCCACTAAGGAAAGATGCTGGGTTGACAATGTTAGTTACTGTTATCTGGACATTGTCCTGCTCCACCATAACAGCCTGGTATTTGAGGAATCTCTGTGGGGATAGCCAGTGCTCCCCTTTTGCTTCCAGTACGGTGGATACTGTGTAAGACACTAACGCTGTTATCTTTTGGCCCATTATAAATTTGCGAGCCTCTTGGATGCTAAGTATTACTGCAGCCACCACTCTCAGGCAGCTAGGCCATCCTCTACTCACTTCATCCAAATGTTTGGAGAAGTATGCCACAGCTCTCCGATCTGGGCCTAGGTTTTGGGCTAAAATTCCAAATGCAATGCCCTGCTTCTCCTGGGAGAACAGCCAGAAAGGTTTCATGGGATCTGGTAACCGTAAGGCTGGGGCCCGCATTAATTCTCATTTCAAGTTATGGAAAGCCTGCTCAGCCTCTCTATTCCAGGTGAGATCTTTTGAATTAGCTTTAATAAGTTCATAAAGTGGTCTTACCAGGAGTCCATAGTTGTAGATCCATAAACGACACCAACCCATCATTCCCAGGAGGGTTCGGAGCTCCTTAACCGTCTGTGGCTTGGGAGTTTGGCAGATGACTTCCTTTCCTTGCTCTTCCCAAGGTCCATTCGCCAGCGTGATATCATATCCTATATATGTCACCTTTTGCTGAGCTATTTGAGCTTTCTGTGGAGAGACGCGGTAACCACTTAGTCCAAGAAAGTTTAATAAACTCACAGCCCAAGTTATATTTTGTTCCTTTGTTTCAGTGTCTACAAGGAGATCGTTCACATACTGCAACACAGTCCCAGTACCAGGTGGCAATTCCCTTCACCAACTGGTTGCCGAAAAGGGTAGGGCTATTCTTAAAGCTTTGTGGAAGTACAGTCCAAGTCAGCTGTGTTTTTTCTCCCAGAATCCAGGTTCTCCCACTCCAAGGCAAATAATAATTGACTTTCTGGGCTCATAGGTAGGCAGAAAAAGGCATCCTATAAATCCAGAACAGTAAACCAAGTCAATTCAGATTTCAATTTAGTCAATAATGTGTATGGATTGGCTACCACAGGGTATAAATCCTCAGTTACTTTGTTCATGGCCCTGACATCCCGGACTATCCTATAATTTCCATCTGGTTTCTTCACTGGTAATATAGGAGTATTGTACTCAGATTCACATTCAGTTAATAATCCATACTTCAGAAACTGTTCTATGATCGGACAAATCCCTTGTCTTTCCTCTAACCTTAAAGGATATGGCTTTACTCTCACCGGCTTAGTTCCTGGTTTAATTTTGACTGCTATCAGTGAAACTGTTTTTGCTTTGCCGGGTATTTCAGTGGCCCATACCCCTGGGAATACTTGATCCTGAACCTCCTTGGGTACTAAGCTGTCTTTTCAGAGGGACTTAATAAGGGCAAACTTAAAAGCTCAATTAGCTGATCATCCCGCACTTTAAATTCTATTCCTTCCTTCCGAAATCTTATTTCTGCCTCCAATTTTTTCTAATAAATCTCGCCCCTTAGGCTTTAGTGAATTTGGCATATAAAGAAATTTATGTATTCCTAATTGTTTGCCCAATTTGAACTGCAGAGGTTTGAGAAAATGCGCCTTTTCACTTTGGCCAGTAGCAACCTTTACCGTTACAAAATCATTGTCTATAGGTGTCAGAGCCTGGTTTAAAACCGAAAATGTTGCTCCGGTATCTACTAAAAATTCCACCCCCTCGTTGTTGTTTCCCTAGCTTTAATGTAACCAGTGGATCGCTAGGGTGGACTCCCTGGTTCCCTGTCAGTCTTCATAGTTTTCCACCACAGGGGCCTGGGTTCTGGAGGCGTTCATGATTTTTCTACCCCCTTGTCTCCTTTGGGGACACTCATTCTTTCAGTGTCCCGTTCGCTTACACCATGCACACTGATTGATCCCCAGTGGGGGTCTCCAAGGGCCTCCAACTCCCAGAGTCCCTGTTTCTCTTTTGTCAGGGCCCCCTCTTGCTGTAAAGCTGCTACAAGAGTTCTCCTATCTCTTCTCCGGTTTTCTTCCGCAGCTTCCGCCCCCACCCCCTGGCCAACTCTTTCTAACGTTTTAATATGCAGCTTAAAGGGCCAGCTTTCGGGCATTCTTTTGTTAACCAAGAAACACTGTACTGGTTAAACTGATAACAGCAATACCATACCCAAGGTAAGAGGTGCTGGGGAGTGCTTGCCCTACAGCGGCTGCACCTGAATTCAAAGCAGTTCTCGAGATAAAACTCCCATCTCCTGTTTGGAGAGATAATGTATTTGCAGCACTTTAAGCACTTAGCACGAACAAACAAACAACAGTAGTTACAAAGTGGACAGGTGCTTGTGTACTCCCCGCACTGAGGGGCTAAGTTATTACTTTGTTTTACATCCCCTTCCATACCATAGCGATGACTTTGTATTTATCTCTTTACCATATAAGTTTCACTAGACTCACTGATTCTTTAAACTTTCTAAATTCCCGCAGATTACCCGTTTAAGTTTGCCTGAGTGCTCAATCCTGTCCCAGTCAGACCAGTTCTCACATTGGTGACACCAAAAATCGTTTCCGAATCGCTCCCAAATGTTCTTGTCACAACCAAAGCACTTAAAAATAAAAATTAGATTACACAAAAAATCCTCAGATCCGTGTATAGGACAACAAAAATTAAAACTTGGTTCAGGTAACCCTGTTCCAAGGTCTGTCACACGCTTGAGAACACAGTCAAGAGGAATACAAATACTGACCACCGGAATTCCTGTATCCTTACCTCCAAGAGACCACCTCAGATGTAGAGTTTGGCCTGGTGCACGTCAGCCTCCCAAACTCAGCCTTTCTAGCTTCAGCCACAGCAGCTCCTGTCCACAGTCACCCAGTGCTCCAGCTGTCCCTTTCTGCC